CCCCCCCCGGGCCCCGGTTTGGGAGGCGGGCGGTTGTGCCCCCAGCCACAACAAGTGCTCCCCTCTTGCTGTGATTATGCCCCCCTTGGAGTGCTCTCCTACTCTAGAAGGCAGATCGAGTCACCACTTCATCCTCAGCCATAACATCCACAGCCTTCCGACATAAGGGATTAAGACCGCTCCATCCAGTACCACTTGCCACTTAAGATTTTTTTTGCTTTTGAAATGTCTTATTTAGCACTATGAAAGCAATGTTAGCAGGGAAAATGGTAGCTCAGAGTACTTTTAAGTGGATTCCCAGATTTTTGCTTCTACATCATTAGCATACATGCTGGCCACAAAAACAATGACTGAAACCATCGAGAGGGGTTGATGTTGGTTCCCTTCAGGGCAGACAGGAGTTCCAGTCACAAAAGCCATTACGTGGTGCATCTTCACTATTCCAACAGAGAGATGAGCCCAAGGAATGCACACCACCATGCCTTTAAAGATAACCCCTCTGCTGATGAAGTTAGACACTCCTTTCTCTGTGGCTCTCAAAATCAGCTACTCTTCTTTAGCAAACAAATCATTTAAGAATCACCAGCTTAACTTTGAATGCATTAATGCATTTCCTGCAAATGTTAATGTGGTATTTTATATAACAATATACATGTAACATAAAACGCCAGAATACTGTTTCTAGCAATCAGGAATTAAAACTTATTCATTTATAGTTTGGAATTTGATGCCTTTTTGCCTTATCAGTTGCTTCTTTCAGAAGTGATACTTCATTACCACAAAGAAATGCTCAATGGACATAACCGGGTAAATCACTTTTTCTAATATTCATGAATTTAAACTATAGGTACCAGAAATAAATGCATTCATTCCAGTTAATAAATAGATATGCAAAGATTAAATAAATACTCAGACATAAGTCATGAGCTATGGAATCACATATGTACAAGAATGCCCCAAATTTCAATTTATCAAATGTCCCAGTTGTTTTCTCATATCACTAGACACATCACTAGACAGCCTACAGAGCTCAGCCCTCTGAACCTTTGGTCACAGGACAAGAGAGTGAATGAATCACAACTCAGCCTGTTCCCTCTTCACTAACTCCTGAGCATCTCTGCCACAAAATCAAGGCTTGCACACCAGCACCTGTGTCAGTGCCTTCCCACTGCTTGGGTCTGTCAAGCTTGAGCTGCTCAGGAAAGCCAGGGTTGTTAGTCCAAATTCTTCATTTCCTATAGCTACTTTTCCAACTAAAACCCTGTCCATGAGCAACAGGTTAGAGACCCTTCTTTACAGTAAAATCATGACAACTCAACCAAGCTACAATCACTATTTTTCTTTTATACATTGCTCTGGCTCAGCAATGGAAACAGACTTGTCTATTTCTCCTCTGTACACCTCGTTTAGGGTATTTTAATTTCAGACCCTTTAGGAATTATTTAATGCTTCATATCTAAAAAAACCACAGAGAAGTTATAATACATTAAATTTTATCTAAAAGGATATTTATCATTATTTCATTTATGCAAAGAATTTCTCTATAAACAAGTAACTCATCAGCAATATGAGAAAAAAATCCAAATAATAAACAAAGTGATTCCTCCAACCAGAAACTTCTTTAAAATATATTAAAAAACATTATCATCTCTGCAAATGAATTTTTGACAGAAGTGCTTGTATTGGAACAGCTCACAATTTCAGGAGAAAGCCACTAGACACAGGTTCTTTTGTTAATGCAAGAATGGACTCAGTTACCCAGCAGGTGTTCTTGCCTCTGTCTCTTCAGATGAACCCTCTCAAATATAAATGAAATGGAAAAAAGTTACCTGTCTGATTAAGCAAATTAGCCGATCCTTCCAAATTAGACCATCCTTCATTGTCATATCCAAATCTAAAAGGCCAGATCATAGCAGAGAAGTCTCTTTTTGGAATCTCAAAAAAATAAAAGGAAAAAAAGTCAAGTACAATTTGAGTTTTATATATAATACCTTTGCAGTCAACAACATTAGATACATCGTGCCATAAAAGACACACAAGAAGAGATATTTTAACAACAGCTAAGAAAGCTGTCAGGATTACAAAAGGCTTTAGGTATTTTTGAGAAAAAACTGCTATTCACAAGAGGAGAAAAGTCATCGTAGTTAAAATGAATTTGTAGAAGTAACAGTAAATAAATGAACAGGAAAGAGACTACAATTTTTTTCATCTTTCTAAGAGGAACTACCCCCTTTTTTCCACATTCTAAGGTACTACAAACCTGGATGAGTTCTAAAAAGAAAGCCAACTGTGTATGTCTGTGTGCATGTGTGAATACACACGTGTGTGCGTTTGCACACACACAATTTCTACTTGGCCCTCATCACCTTTTCTGCATCTTTTGCTGTATCTGTCATCAGTGATTTCTCTAACAAAACAATTACCAACAGGAATCCATGTCAAGAGCAAGTTTCAAAGGACTATTTCCAAACTGCCACCAAAAGAAAAAGTCTAATTCATAATTGCAACCACCTGCATCAAAAAGTCAATTTTATATTAGTAATCAATTAAATCGTAGAATAGAAACATGTTAATTTGTATCTGATCAAAACAGCTCTAATTTTGAATTAAAATTACTAAATATGCAAGCAACACACTCGGACAACTTGTAAGTAATCTAAATGCTAAACTTTGCAAGCATTTAGCATCTTAATTGTTACTATCATTGCAATACCTAATTTTTTGCCAGATAGAAAACTGGAATATTCCAATTTTTATCCAATTTCCGTAACTAGTCTAAGTCTAATCTAAGTCAACCAACTTTTCTGAGAGGTTCAATTCAGAGTTATGCATATGAATATAGAAGCACAGAATTCCTTCAGCTGGAAGGAAGCTCAGGAAGTTATCTATTCAAACTTCCCTGATAAAAGATCAGGCTGCTAACAGCATTGTCAAGTTAAGTTTTTAATACAATTCAAACAAACTCATTTATAAAAGTTACATTCAAATTGAATGTATGAGGCAAGCATCTCAGTTTTTCAGAATATTTTTTTCCTTCATAGCAGTGCTATAAATCTCCAAAGACCCAGACATTTCCCACGTTCAACATGAATTTACAAATTAAACTTTTCGCATTTTCATTTCTGCATTATTGTTGCTGGAATACTTGCATACTGGTACAAAGACTTCTTCAGCACCAACCAACACACCTAAGATATCACACATGCATTTTAATGTATATTTGAAAGTTACTCTTTTCACGAACACACTACTCACCCCTTGGCCCAACTTCTTCTGGTAAGCTTTATAACGTAGACCCAATCCTAGCAAACCAACACCAACATACAGCCATAATACTTGAAACAGAGAAACACAGAAAAGTCATTTTTAAAGCACGAAAAAAAAATGTTGTTATTGCAGTTCAACAGAACTGGGTACACTGTCATTCTAAGGTGTGCTATTCATAGAATGGGGAATGTATACATTAAAATTTCCACATATGCCAGCGATAACACCATTCCAAACTAGCGTACTTAAGAGTACCTATATGTGTGCAGATTATCTATATGTGTGCAGATACACTTACATTCTCCAAGATACAACAGGCTGAGCAGCTACAATATACCAAAACTCCTTGGAATATTTACGTAAAAATGATACCTACTGAAGAATTCATTATAGGAGAGGAGTAAGAGCATCATGTAAACCTTTCAGTGTTTTCTTCTCTGTGTTCCAGGTATGCATTTGTAGTATACAATTTTTATTTTATATTAATATAACATATGGAAGAAAATTTAGTTTACTTCACAAGCCTTTAGATGTCAGAAAGATATGATCCCTGCCAGACCTCCAGAGCAGTCCTTTGTTTGACACATTCTTGGAAAGGCACTGTGGCTCCACAGAATGCAAATTCAGAGCTTTCCCATTGCTCCTGCAGCCTTGCAAATAACTGCAGTGGACACTTATGAGCTCTCAGGGTTTGGCACACTACAATTTGATGATTAAACCCCTCTGCAGTTACTTCATTTACACAGTGGCATATGGTACCTACAATGATTTCAGTAAGTCCAGTTTATTCTTCCATCAAATCTTTAAACAGATATGTAATTATTTTTATGCAAGTTTTCTGGAACAATTTTGTGTAAAATTTAAATGAATTCTACCATGGATGATGACAGAAGAAAGGACATGCTGTTTATATCAGTAAATGTCAAGCAATTTCATACTCTGCCAGATGCAAAGGCGCTTAAAGGGGAAGCTACTGTTGTAATGTCACAAAGTCAGCCGAGCAAGGGCTGTGCTCTGTGACAGACAGTACTTTCAAGTATTTACTCACTTTTCTGAAATGTTTTTGAGTAGTAATATTTAAACCACTTGCATTGGTGCTCACATTGCCTCTAACACACAAACTCTCAGGGTCCGCATTCTTCTGGCCCCGGAGTATATAGGGTAAAGACCTTCATAAAGATTTCAGAAACAGCCCTGAAAAGTGGTGAAGCACTATTGTCTCCACTTTCCAAATGAGGCAAAATGAGGTACGCAAATAACAACTGATTTGGTCCAAAGTCACAGAGGAAAACAAGATGCAGGAATTTGAACCTTCAGCATGCTGATCTCTGTAGGGTTAGCATGCCCCAACGCCTAGCAGTTCTTTCCTTTACCAAACTCCACAGTATTGACAGACTTTTTCCTTAGAAAAAGTACGCTAACAATGAAAACAAACCTGAACCTCAAATGATTGTAGAGAAATACTTGAAAACATCATTCAGATGGATTCCAGAGGTTTATAAGCCAAAAAGCAGTAAAGCCTCAAATATTTTCATTTCTCTTCAAAGCCTAAGGAAAAAAGCAGACCTCATACATATCATCTGGAAAGCTGGGATCCCTAGGCATAGTTCACAGGCAGGAGATGACAAAGGTTTCCTGAGGATAGGCCTGGTCTGAACATGCAGCAGGGCATCAGGATTGTGGAGCGATGTCATCCACAACAGGCTTTGCAGGACTGCCTCCTCATGCAGGAGGAGTGCCACATTATACAGCAGCTCCTGGGCCAGCCGAGTGCCATCCCACTGCCAGCCAGCTACAACACAGCCCTATAAAGGCTGTCACACTGAACTGCTTCAAAATCAACATACCGAATGGGCTGGGAAATCATTCTTATCTTTTGTACGCACATGTAATAAATCCCAAGATCCAGAGAGGCCTCCTCCTCAACTGCCAAAATGAAATCACAAATTATATCAAATCCATTTTTACATTTTCTTTTTTCCCCAGTTCATTTTTCTTTGGTCTCCATTTAACACACTTCATGAGGAATAGCCTCTCTCTCCACCGTAATGAATCAGCTCCTCAGTTAGTATATACCATCATTAAAACTGGAACTAGGGCAACACTAACTACAAGTCTGGCTCTAAAACTAGCACCAAAAAACATTTCTAAAACATCTGAGCAAAACACTTCATTGCATTACTCTTTTTCCTCAGACGGTATTCCTAAAGTCATGGAAGAAAGAAAGTAAAATTATACTTACGTAGTTTAATATAGTTTTTACTCTTTTTGAGTAGTGGCTTTTGGTTGCTTTTCACTTCAAAGATAGAGCTAAGGTCTTTCTTGGGTCCTGTTAGAAAGACTACGCCAATACATAACATTATAAACCCTGCAAAAATACAAGTCATTAGTTTTTTCATAGAGCTTTAACATATTAAATGTTGCTCATGAATGCACCATTTATAAACTCCCAGCTGTTGTGTTACATTCAACCTTATGGCTCCCACAACAAAGACAATTCACAGCACAAACACAGATAAATGCTATACCCAATGCAGTAATGCAGGCAATATGAGATTTATTGATAGAGAAAATCCTACTTATCATTGTCACAGTATTCACCTCAATTATGCCTGCAGCACTTCAAAAATTTTTAATTTAGACTGTTGTACTTGTTGACATAAGCATTGCTTCCAACAAAATGAGCTAGTGACATTAAACATGCCACTAATGATAAATATTTCAAAAAATATTTCAAAATAGTAGTATTGCAGTAAGTCAAAGCTAAAAGATTATTTAAAATGCCACTGAGCACCTGTTTCACATAAAAATAGTGAAGTTCAAAATTATATTTTGGTTTTGTTTCCCCCTCCCCCAAATAAGCTGCTGCTAAGATTTAATACACCTGAAACAGCCTTATTAAGCCTGCTCTGTGCTGATGACTGAAAAGCAGACCTAATAGTAAAAGTATCTAGCCAAAGACCCCTGCACATTATGAACTCTACTCTGGACTACAGTGAGCTCCAAAATGCAGTCCACCTTCAGGTGTTTCAGGCTGAGCACACGGGGGGCTACTGACACTAATGCAACTTACAGCTGTTCTTGCTCTTCCCTTGCAACCCAGCAACCTAAGGATCATGATATTACCAGATAACTTTGTGGTCCCCAGCATCAGGCTGCATCAGCTGCTAATCAAACAGTCCTCAGAACCTGTCTCATTATTCACTATGGAAACACAGAGATATTTTAACTCTGCTGGTGCTACTGGGTCCCACTACTGCACATTTTATCAGCTTTCTTCTGTTAGTGAAATATTTGTTTAAAGATGTGTTTTCCCTTCCTCCATTCACGTACCAATTGGGAGAACAATAAGAACAATAATATTTTAATCCTTTGATCTGGGGCAAAGTAGCAAATCTTTCAGCAGACCTCCCCACCTTTGTGTATCCTAACACCAACTTCCACAGAACCTCAAGCACGCTTAGCCAGCACTCTCAAGCAAAGATTGATTTGCAGTAGAGTTTCAGGGTATTGCATCGAAAAGGCTAGCACACGGTAGATAAATTATGCTAAAATACTTCCAGGCCCCTATGGACAGCTACATCTCTCAGCTCAGTCCAGTGCTTTCAAAGTTTACTGGAATTAACCTGGACTAGAGCAATTAAGTTACACCTACATATTACAGAACCTTAATGTAACAGCTCGATGAAAAAATACATTGTTGATTGTAGATGTCTATTATCTTTGCAAATGAACTGCTCTGTCACCAAGATACAAGTAACACATTTTTATATAGGAACTACAAAAACAATTGCTCAACAGTTTGTTCTAAAACAGTGTAAGCGGACGGCAGCAGTTTGGGAGGCCAGTTTAACATGGCAGCATCTTCTATTCTTGTGCTCCAGAGCCAATAAGGGAGCTATGCTTTTTAAGAATAGACAACTAAGCACACCTATAGACACATTTTAAAAGCTAGTAAGCAACTTCAGTGCACTAACTGTTGCAATGCACTGCGATGGTATCTTTGCTTTTCAACAGGTAGTTCAGACTAACAGTACAAGCTCTTTTCCCATCCCTTATGAGCTAAAGCATCCAATTACCTGCAAAGAAAATGCAGGAGCATAATGAATTGAATAAGAACTCTGCTGGAGAAGGTATATGTCCTTAATATCTTTGTGGCATAGTTAATTAACTATAAAAGTTATGTTTTATTTCAGAGTTATAGCTGAAGATGAAATAACCATTACTCAGTATTTTCTTATTGCCCTTACTTGTTACATTAGTTGTAGTGAAAGTTTGCAAACCAGGAAGCTGGGTCTAGTGCAATGAAGAAGGGGGCACACACAAAACCTTTCTCAAAGGAAGACTGATTGAAAGCCAGTAAAGTTGACGGAAGACCAGGGGTCCGACCCCTCAGCATTATGTTACATCACAGTGAAGCAGCACAGAAGTTTTCAATATAATGGTCTTACTTTCATTGTCACTTTTCCTGGTGCAGTTCCCTACCCAAACCGCGGCAAGAGAAAGGCAGGATATGGGACAGGAGGAGAAAGCAAGAAATAGCACTTGCACCTGAAAGAAACCAGAAGAAAATAAGCAGTTTGCCAGAAAGCCAAGCTGTAAGGGAAGAAGCACAGCAACAAATACACAATCTCATGGTATAATTTGCAAATCTTTGATAAGCAATGAGATGGCACCAAAAAGACAGAAACTGGATTCTCAGAGGGACTACAAACTCATGTAGCACCATCAGCTGAGACGGGTTCAGTTCACAGTTTTCTTTTTACCAAAGAGAAAGTTAGGCCCATGTCTGTGTTATTAGCCAGTGATCATGCCAGGTGAGTTAATTACAAGTATGTATTTAAAAGGCAGTGACAGAGAGGGATTTTATATATCAGTTTTTCTTTTGTCAAAGCATTACTTAAGAAAGCATTTGACACTCCTCTACCACATGTTTTCTTCACATAACATCAAAAAGTAAAATTAAATTAGCTGAGATAACTGTTTCTATGGTCCCCCAGAGTGCTTTCAGAACAAAGAAAACTGCAATAAGTGTAACAGAACTCTCCTCAAAACATAACAAACTGAAACCCTGCATGTGATTGCTGCAATATACGAAGCACATATGGAGACTAAGAAACTAGAGTGACAGAAAGTGGTTGCAAAGACATTTACAAAATCTAAAACCATTGGAGCAACAAGTCAAGCACAGCATTCATTAATCCTTTTCAAACAAAATATAGAATAATGCGTCACATTTTAAAATGTGCAACACACTTAGCCCAAGACAATGTTTGGCATTGTTTAAATATAATTAGTGAAACATGCTATTGAAATACATTAGTACCCATTAAGAAAATAGTTCTGGGGACAAAACCAGAAAGGGTTGGTTTCATTTCCACCTCCCCACCTTCATCAAGGGATCATTTTGCTAAAACCTTTATATTTGCTCACCTCAATTCTTCCTCATTGGCAAATACCTGACAATGTCTTTTCTTCCTCTCCTCTTTGCATGTTTCTGACACTGCAGGCTTATCAACATTCCTCCAAACATGCTGCTGTGTCCAGAAAGCATAAGGTAGAGCCATATGGAAATGAAGCTCAGGTCTCAAATGCAGACTAGCTAGATCAGCAGGATGCTGCAGTTTGCCCCTCAGAGCAGGGCTAAACAATGCACTGAATTATGTTACAGTCCCAGTAACACAGCCTTCATAAATCCCTGATTTTCCAGAAACTACATTGTTACCTGAGGTACCATACTGCTATCTTAGGGAGCATACAGGTGCATACACGTGCATTCACACCCTGGATTGCAGCCATATTTTCAGGGTGACTGATTAACAGACCTCTTCCTCAGTTGTGTACTGAGTTATCAGACTTTCTTTCGCTTTGTCATTTTCCCTCAACTGAATTCCATTTTCTGCCCACATTTTAAACTATTTCTAACAGTAAAGAAACAAGTAGATTATTTTTTGCATGTCTCACTAATTCCTCATGGAAACTCTTACCACAGTAAATCAAATAGAAGCTGAGCATTTGGAAAGACTATTTATACACTAGATACATTTTAAACATCTGGCTGAGGCTAAAGCAAGCGTATTTGTATTTGTTCATAGTCATAAATGTACCTAAAAGAAGATGGGAGCTTTCTCTAGCATAAATTCCTCCAGGTACAAATTTATAAGCTGTACACCATACACAGAAGAATAATTCAAGAACATAGGCAAACATGGCTGTACTCATGGCTTTCCCAGGGTGCAGACAGCTAACAAAGCATCCAGCCAGTTGAGGCCACACACACATAGTGAAGACAGCGAGAATGTTGCCTGCAACAGCAGCACTCCAGGTGTGTAAATAAAGGAGACCGGTCGAAGATGCTAAACCTGTGAAGGGATAGAAAAGAATAGAGTAAGTCACAGTCAGGTATATTATCTGCTACCTTCTTTTTCACATTCTGTCTAGGAAAAAAAGATACTCTGGGAAATGTAACTGTGCTTTGCAGCCACGAGAACTGTATCACTAGAAGGACAGTTATTCCCAATAGCCAAAGACAGCCTCTTACTTTTCCCAACACCTCATTCTCTTAAAGATTGCCTATTCAGCTGAAAACAGTGCAGCAGCAAAAAGACAGGAGAGAAACATCACCAAGAGCCAAACCTGAACAGTTTTTCTTACACAGAGCTCTCCCAGCACAACAGAGGGATGATGCAGTTTTTAAGAGATTAACAGGTCTGCCTGTTAGGAACCTCCTTTAACATAATACAGAAAGAATCAAATAGGTTAATGTGAAGAGAAAACGTATCTTTCCCTGATCTTCTCTCCCTTTAGATAACCATATGATCGGCAAAAAAACAACTATTAATCTTTTACTAACTGCAAGATCCTTGATTTACCACACTGTCTTTGGCTGTGAGGGGATTTTACCCCAAACAGAACATTAACAACGACAGAAACTCTCTACAACAGGACGACTTCATTTTAAAACTTTATTGTAGGTAAGAAAATGTTTACTAACTTTCACACCATGAGAGCAAATGTATAGAAACATTTTTAATATTTTACTCTTATGCATCAAGGTTCCGAGCATTTTAGAATACAATGCTTGAATCAGCTAAAGAACCATTCTGTACTTGTTTTAAATTAGCAATGTGTGTACATCAAAAATCAAATGCTCGTACTTGCATTACAATCTGCACATACATTTCTTAAAACTAACACCTGCACCAAAAGGGAAATTATTTGGGCAACTGACGGTTTAAGCATTGCCAACTCTTGTGCATTTATTGTGACTTTACTGATATTTGATATTATATTTTGGTTCCTGACTAGAAGAAACTCAGTTTGCATTGAATTTCTTGTCTACAAGGTTGCGGAAAATAACTTGAAAGTGTTGGCTCTTAAGTGCTCCAAAAGAGACAGCGAATAAGAAAAAAGCAAAACATAACTCATTATTTCCTTTGGTCTCTGTACTTTGATATGTCCCAATTTATTATTAAACACTTGTAGGAAATACTACTTTGTCGTCTTGATATAAACATCTACAAACAATTAGCTAAGGCCAAAAAAGAAGCAGATATATGTTTTTATTAAACAGCATTTAGACCACTAAATTTCATTCAGATGGGCCAACAAGTTAAACCAAGCTGCATCCATCCATCCATGCTGAGAAAGTATGGAAAACACACCTCTCCATAGTTCAAGAGCAGAATTATTTCCATCTCCTCCTACTTGCTCCATGCATAGCTTGCTCCACAGTATAGCTATACCATTCTCCTGAAAATGGATGTCCAGATCCAGCACTTGAATCCCTCTTCCCACTACCCAAGACTCATTGTATGCAGACTGATTCACAGTTATACTGCTCCACCAGAGTGGAGCAATGATGTTTCGCTGTTCATAGTGTTTTACTGCCTGGAGATGTTGGCAACTAAGGAGACAGGAGGCCAGCTTGCCTCCAGGTGAACTGCTCATTAAATTACAAGTTATTGTGCCTCCTGTGGAATCGAGAGGCTTGTGTCATCTCAACGCCATAACCCTAGATGTAGCCTTACACAATGCAGATAGTGAGAACTGAGACGCTACTCGTGGGAACAGAACCTCAGCAGGGGCTTCTGAAGAGAAAATACGCTGCTCTGCAATGGCGCGGAGATTTGGCCTGTAACCCTTAGTCAACTGGTCAGACGTGTATACTACAGTCAGTGACAGAGAAAAAGACGCTTTGATTAGCAATTGACTTTTCTGAGATATGGTGTAAGGTCAGAGGGATGGAGTAAAGGGAATAAGGTAACAGAAACAAAAATTCTGCTCAGGATTTGCACCTACCTACAAGGAACCAGGCAAAACTGGTGACAAAGGACCAGCTCCAAAATGAAAGCATCAGTCCATGAGCCAGGCCCAACAGAACTGTACCTCTAATACAACAATAAGGAAAAAGAAATCGCACATTAATATAATCTTATAAACACCTGGCATTGAAAAAGAAACTTCTAGACATACAGACAAGGAAGCTTGGTCATATTTTATAACGCTTTTATTTTAAACAGAGCTCAATTTGAGCACAAAATATCTTTATCTTACACCCTGCTATATTTTCTCCCCTTTACTGGATGGAAAAATCATCCAGTTGAAAATTATGGCAGTTTATCATAATGTATAAGCGAGCTATGTTCAGCAGCAAAAGCACTCCGCTGAAGTACTGGGTACAAAAGGCAAAAAGAACTCAGCAAAAATGAGAGGGAGGAATCCACCCCAAATAGAAGTATTTTCTTCACATCAAATAGGGGATCCTACAGCATCTAACATTGCTACCAGTCTTGGGTAGTGCTTGTGTATACTAATTCCAAATTATTAACTGCCTCACCTGCCACTACACATAGTTGACTCAGAATAACTCATCTGGTCCCTTTCTAGATTTTGGAACCCAGGTGAGCAACACATAGCATTAAGACTAAATTCTTACTAACCAAAACTTCTACAGAAGTGTATCTTTTAATACTGCACACAGTTTACTTTTTTTTATCTGTATGCATCTCTGACATACACTATGTCCTACCATCTCCTCTCTGAAGTCAACTGCTAGATTAATTTACTGTATATTATAGATGCACTTCATTCATAAATGTTTGAACCTCAGTCATAATTTAAAAATTGTTTTGCAATGTGGCAAATCAAGTTTTTTATTGCTGAAATAAAAATCATTCTGTATTAGAAAATCTTAAGTTTTATTGGTATGGACACAATGCTCAGAGGTATCTGCAAGCAAGAATGAATCCACAAGTCCTCTGTGTGAAGTACTTTGTACCCACTTTATTCTATGTAGTTCTTATACCATCATCTGGTTGAGTTTTAATTTCTCACCCACTACAGCACTGGTTTTTGATTACTGTTTTGTTTAAATAATAATAATAATAAAAAAACACTTACCCATATGGATTAGGATCTGGACCTGTATGTGGATGTCCACTTACTGCCCATCTAGAAATCAATGAGACCTCCCCAAATATCCACAGGGTGAGGAACATGAGGCTGCCAAAAGCAATCCCTGACAAAAGCCAATGAGGGCGGGAAACAGTCTCTCTAACTGCATTACGAGTTTTGTTTGTTTCTTGTTTCCTTTTGTCTCCACCTAGAATAAGAATAGAAATATAGCTGAGCAAACTGTCAAATGCTATTAGAAAGGGTTACTGAGAAAAAGAAGTAGCCAAGATCACTAAATTACCAGAATAAATTACTGGCTCAGGCACAAAAGCTAACTTTTCTGATCATTTGTGGAAATTGATAAGACAAAAAAATCTTTAATAACATTCCTACATCTGTCAGGAAAAGCTACTCACCTTAAGTGTACAAAAATGGCAACCTGCCCATATGATTATTCTTCATACTACTGGAATTTAAGTAATTAAATTGGCTCTGAAAACCAGCAGAAAAGTTATTAGAATTTGTTCAGAGGATTCTGTTCTCTGAAACTCTAAACTTTGATAAGAACAAAACCCGACACTTTCAAAGAAGCCAGAAATAAACTCCCTTCCTTCTCTTCTCCTTTTTCCGTGCACTTTAGATCCTCTCTCACTTAAGGAGAAAGCAGCGCATTTAATTGCATAGACGTATTGCTTTGTCACCTAGGAAGAAGACAGATTCCCTTCCTAATCTCCTGCAGTAGATTTCCTTTGTAAATTATAATGAAAGCTTAGGCTTAATTTATGTCATATAACGCAAGTCTACAAACGATACACACGATGCCAATTTATACCCACTTACACACAGATAAGGTCTTATCTTTCAATTAATTCATTCAGGTTATACTGAGAAGGAAGGAACTTCTGAGAATTTAACATGAGCTGCCTCTAACTAACCAACCCAACCTCGCTGTCTTCCTTGGCAACACTACCTTCACAGTTTTCAAGTGTGCTTCGCCTACGCCAGCCTGCACTGCTGTGTATGTCCAGATGCTCCAAGAACTCAAGCAAATTTTGACCAGGACAACTTGTCCACTCTTCCAACTCTTTCTGTTTATTTTGCCACATCAGCTGTTCCCCAGCTTTATCCTGTCTCCCTTTCTCTGTCAAAGGGTATGCACTGGCAGAGAAACTCAAAGAGCAGACTGAATTAAGAAAATAACAGAAATACCACAGATGTTTCATGTTGGAATGAAGATAATCCATTCTGGTTTTATCGGCCTAAGTTATGCCTTTGTTTGCGTTACTGTCACATTATTGATACTGCAATTAGTTGGCAGTTCCAACACCAACTTACTACAGCTTGTATGAATTGTGATATCGATTCTGTCATGTTACAGGCAGATGGAAGTACCCCATGGTTTCTAAAGTCTGCAATGCTCACACATCAGGTCTAAAACCAGACTGTACTGGGGAAAAAAACCCAAAGAATCAAAACCCAGTGACACATAGATAGGTATACCTTAGGATGTTTTCATAACTGCCATCTTTGCTGTAATATGCTCACCTGAATAAATTCGCTCCACTGCTGCTATAAAACCAATTGTCAGTATGACAGTATTGGCAGCTTGTGAGCTCCAGACTGGGTTTAGTGATGTATACCAGATGCGAAGAACAAGGAGCATTATCTTGCCTAGCATGAAGCCCCATATCCTGATGAACCTATAAGAATCAGTTTTTGAAACAGTGACACATTTGAGAAAAAAGAAAAAAAATCTTAAGTTCTCAGGAAAAAAAAAAGGAAACACCTTTTAATATAAAGAAATGTCAGTTACAACCCCGTCAGTATAAGAAAATACCTTTGTAAACTGTTTCCTGACCACCAAGTTACTGTTTGAACCAGCAATGAGGAGGAAACACCTGCAGCCAAGATGAATAGTCTAATTGAAGCATTTGGTGCCTGGTATGATGCTAAGCTTCCTACAAACAAACACACACATACAGAGGTTGCTTTAATAGGCAATAAAGATCAGGTAATAAGGATTCTCTGTGCATTAGTTCAATCTTGTCTGTAATTTGGATGGCTACACCGTTCATCTGAAAACACATGACACTACACCTTTTTAAACAAACCAAAGAAATGTAGGTATGGATAGAAATTGGGTATATATGACATTATAGCAGTTACCATTTAAAAAAAAAAAAAAAAACACAAAAAAAACCCCAACCAAAAACCATGAAGCAATTATCCAAGACTGCAGTGATTGCCTTAATTTAAGTACTTACGGTCATTGATTCCATAAATAGAATATATGGATAAACTATCTAAGCATATAGATATTCCTGAACAGTGCACTTTCATAACTTAAAAGCCATAAAAGTAAGTGCACTATGGCAAAAGCCGTATCCTTTTTAGAAAGGAGCAGTCACCATACATTGCACAAGGATTAGTAGGCAATTATCTAGTGGGTGTGAACAAAGCTTTCTCTGGCCCGGTATCTGGTCTCAGAGTGGTCATTAGCAGCCTGTGTCATCTTGTTACTGGAAACTGTCACTCCCCCAGTCACTGAAAGAGACCATGCACATGCATTTCCGCCATTTTCCAGGGCACAGTGACCTCACCTTTATCAGCATTTTTAAACTCTGCTAGCAGGTTTTCAATTCAAGTGACTATGGGTCACACACATTCTCTTAACTTCAGTCAGTGTGGCAAATTCTGGCCCAGGATCAGTGACAAACAGCAGGAGAAGCAACATCGTTTTCCTACCAGCCATTTGCTAAGTGCGTATGAGTCAAACTTAAAGAGATGTTAAGCAAGGAAGGCCAGAAATGGAGCTGCTGATTCTGGCAATGCATGCTTGAATCCTCCAACTGTCTATTTGCTCATTCTGCTCAGAGTAAAAGACGCAAAGCTTAGAGCAAAGATGATAAAACGAAATCAATGTGTGGTGAAGATGTATGGACTTTAGCAGAGATTGCATGTGCAATGCACACAGATTTCTGTCTCTAAATTGTGCTGAAATCCGCAGCTCTGCCTCTTCAAATCTTCCATTACTTGTGCCAGCCAGATTACAGCTAGCGTGGGTTTGCCTACTTACAGTAGACACACCTTTTGTTGCCAAGCAAGTACACCCAAAATATATCTATCCAAACATGCAAATTTACTGTATGTTTTCTGAAGACATAGAGTCAAATGCACACTACCACAGGGCTAGTTCATTGTTGTTTTGTTGGGTTTTTTTGGTTGTTTGTTTTTTTTTTTAATGGAACACAAAATCAAGTAGTACGAAAGGACACGGAAATTAAAACAAAAGTTTCAGAGAAAATAAAACTTCCTGGAAAGGCAAAAAGAAAGATAGTGATGAATAAGGGAAGAGCCTTTTCCATCAAAACCAAAAAACTCCAACCCCCTAAATATTCTGGTTTTAGCTAAGCATGAAGAATTTCCAGATTTTTTGATTGTGAAATTGAAGACTGAATGTTTCCAGTGGAATGGGGTGGAGCACGCACAGGGTGGATTATTCTGCCTGATTTTGTTCAACAAGCTCCAGAGGAAGGCCACGGCCTTTCTGAGAAGGGAAAAAGGTCAAAAAGAGAAAGAAGGAAGAAGTGTCAGGATATGAAGAAGGAAAGAAAGCAGGAAGAATTGAGGAATAGGCAAAACAGCAGCACAGTATGATAGGGCAGAAATAATTTAAAAGACAGAATGAAGTGATGAGAACCAAGTAAATGAAAGTCGTAAAGACCAGTGTTGCCTGTGCAAGGCCATCTGGATAACTTGAAAACCTGCAGTAGGGAGGCAAGTAAAGAATGAGAGTTACCATTGGCTGCTAAACTCCTTCCTGCAGACAAAGAGGGTGAGGAACATGCTCTTACGTCTTCCCCAAATGCTAACCCTCACTGTAGAGCAACAGGTAAGGGGAATACAGAATAAGTGCAGTAGAGCTGGGAGAGAATACAGTGTAGTCTTGCCAAGGGGCGGACAATATTAGGAGCATTTGGGAGACGGAAACAGCAAGGGGATATAGTCGCTGTGGGAACAGTTCCTGTTCAGGCAGGAACGAAGGAGAGGTCACACTGCGTACAGCAATGCTCAGGTTAGCCCAAAAGTCAGGATGCGTACAGCTCCAGTCTCCCCATGCTCTGAAGTCCTTCTATGACCACCTCCATTAACACATCCTTTCACCAGATTACTACTGAAGGTGCTAGATTTTTGTTTGTAGTTAATATCTTCAGGAGCTTGTGATTCAGGTGAAGCAAACAGGCATAAACCAACAGACTTTATACTCCGTTATAGGCCTGTCACTCTCTCTACTTAGCAGAACAAAAATTACATTACACACATTTAAGCAATTTCCATCTCTTTTGCCAAAGTGAACTAGTAAACATAGCAAGATGATCTGAAGGATTAATCAATCTTAAATTTTGTGTTACTGTGGTATCTGAAGGAATGCAGGGTGCAATTTGAAATGCTTACACTCATTACTAGTTTCTAATTTAGCAGATCTTGTAGAAAGCAATGCACTGAGCACTGCTGCAGAAAGCTGAAGTGGAAGACTCCGCTCACTGAAAAGCTTATTAAAAAACAACACAAAAGTATTAGAATGGATACGACAGAAAGAATAGAAAAAGAAAAGAACATGGTAAAACTATACTTCATCCAAACTAATGAAACCAATGAGCTGCGTTCAGTTCCGTTATCTTTTTAGAGATAAAGAACGAGAATTCTTTTTAAAAATAAAGTCATACAGTGAAAGTAAATAAGATGATCCTGTTCTGTCTTCTACCAGTAAAAGACGAAAATTATATAGAAAGTGATTCTCTGATTATCATCTTATATTGATAAATGAGGAGCCAGAACTGCTGCTTCTGAAAAACACCAGTTAGCAGCAGCATCTTCCCTGTACACAGGATGGAGACCTTCATCTCCTCTGAGTTCATGCAGGTGTTGCAAACTCATTAGCAAGAAGTTGCTTCTGAATGTGGCTGTAGCTGCCAAACCTTCTCCCAACCAACTTTCAGAAAATCAACAAGTCAGAAAATCAACAAGAGCTAAGACTTGCACCAGTTAGCTGAAGACCAAAGAGGGAATCCCAGCAAGTCTTGGTTTAGGGAGGAGCATGTGGGATGAGTAGTGAGGCAGTTTTATCTTGAATATAAGATCAAACTTTCTTCCTGTGCAACTGACAATATGAGAGCCACCTCATACTCAGGATTAGCCTATAACCCCATCAATATGCTACAGGCATATAGACACATTTATCAAAGAAAAAAAAACATATTAACAAAAAAAAAAACCTGCTTCAGAAAGCAAGTCTACCAAAAAGAACGTTTCACTCACAGCAGATTACTTTTATAATAGCCCCAAGCTATTGTGTAACATCTCGTCTCTATCCATTGTCAGAGACAACTGCTATACAAAAGGCACCTGCTCTGCCAATCTCTGTGCAATATCGAAAACATTTTTCCTATTGGGCATGACTTGTACTAATTTAAAAGCTTCTAGAAACAGAAGTGAAGTGAGATTTGTCTTTACTTATGCAGTACTGGTCTAAAAACCAACACAATGGATGCAAACAATATTCCTCTAACCTTATCTAAAAGCTCGAGAGAAAAAGAAAAGCATCAGTTTGGGAGAGCAAGAACTTCTTATTCCTGTCTCTTTTCAGAATCATCTGAATTTTGAGGCAATTTGGAATGTTTATTCTTATGCCTTGATACCAAGATGGAATCTGTAACTCACTATGGTGCATACTTACCAACCATAGTCAGTCTCAGAAGGGCTAGGATGTACTTGTTGTTAGCCAACCTCCAAAAAGGGCCAATTATCAAGAACATTGGAGAAAAGAAGGCAACAGCAAAAACTTCTAGACCCGTAAGTGCCAGTGTCTGAAGAGGGAAGTAATAGATCATCGGTGGCAGTGCATGGTAAAGAGACCAAGAAATGTAGCCTGAAAAAAAAAAAGAACAAAACCCCATCATATATTTTCAACAGCATGGCTTCCTGGAGATTACTTAAAAGTATACCATTTTATACTTCCAAATGTAGAATATCAAATGTATTTGAAAGCAGTTCAAGTAACAATAGCCACTTTCTGTGAAGAAATATTTGCTATTTCAAGTTAAATAAGCACATTTTCCCAGGAAACAGAAGGATGAGAAGCAAACAGCTCTTCCCCCGCTCAGACAGCGGTTCCTACTTTGATCTTCAGTGAAGGAGTGCTCAATCGAGGAAAGGGCTAGCCTTCAGAGGGAACAATGCTGGCCAAATAAGCAGCCCACCCAGCCTCAGGGCTCCTCAGCGACAGACTGGCAGCTAGATGAATTACTCTAGGAAATCGGTGCGCCGCTCTCCCCTGAAGACCCCTTACCTAGGCCGGCTCGCGCCGCCCTACGATCTTCTGTGCCTTTTGCCGGAGATGCTGCACCCCGCGGCTGAGCCGGCGGCGCC